TCTCTGCTTATTTCTTCTCTTTATAATAATACAAGCAACGACTCGAGTCTTGAAGAGATACCACAGACACAGTAATTGAGCGGACCGAAGTACATACACAACGCCCCGTGTGATTTTCGCCGGGAGCCACCTGGTCACCACGCCCGGGCGACAGGGTCAGTTTGAATGCCGCAGTGGGTTTCTTTCGCTTGCTGCATATCGATGACAGCAAGTGTGCCCCTGCAGCGGTGAACATCACGCTAGTCGCACACACAGTATTATGCTTGCTGTGGTGTACGTGATGCCGTCATTACTTTCTAGAAGGAACACAAACCTCCAGAAGCCCACGAGGGAAAACGACTTGTTCGAAGAGTAAGGTAAAGAAGACACTTGCACTTCCTGACAGGATTTGACCTTGTCGTGTCTTGGAACATGGGGGATAGAAGAGGCACAATTGGTCAGCGATACCACTTCCTAACCGCGGACGTGCGTCAAAGGAGAGGCTTGAGCCCATCGGCGACATGTGGCTTGCTTCCCGCCTGTGGGGTTTCGCCAGAGAAACCGTTGCGCATTCTTTTGCTTTGTGCCGCTTGCACTCGGCATCTCGGCATCATGTCTTCTGCCGTCCAACATCTTCCAAAAGGCTGATAAGTAGGATAGCCTTCCACTCTTCGAGCCAACGCTATCAGCTGTGCCTCTGCGCGCCTCTTTCTTCCTCCAAATGAAAAGGTTCAAACGGTGGGGCTGGCCTGCCGGTGGATAGGATGGCGCTGTCACGGTTTTATAGCGCCGATCCTGTTGGTTTGCTCGTTCGATTTATCGATTTGCAAGCCCGGCCGTGGATCAGTGAAACTCTCGTTTATTCCACCCGCGGATTTCGGCAACCGGCACCAAAACATCAGACCGCACCAACTCTTGGGGTTTTGAGATTGGGATTCTCTCAATCTCCCTTTGAGATGGAAGCAAAATTGTGAGGTAGCCAATGCCCTTTTTGCTGCATGAATCTGAGAGAACTCGCTTCTTAATGGCTTCGGACGCCATCTCCACCTTGGACCCGAATTCGAGGGGGGGGTCTCTTTCTTTTCCAGCCACCTGGGAAAATGTTCGCTACAGAACAGAGCACGCGACATTGTCTCAAACCCGCGGTCTACCTCTAGCACTTTACGCGTATAACAAAACCGACCTATAGGAAGCCTTGCTATCGTCAAGCCTCATTTTTATCTGATCGGGCCTCGGACATATCAATTCTCCCATTTGTAATCCCCTCTGGCTGCTCACACCAACCCCGTCCTTACTACACCCCCTTTATTTCAACCCGCAGCAATCAAGTTCAAGTCAGGAGCCCAAATGCTGCGGATACCTCTACCTGCCCACATGGATTCTTTTTCCACCTGCAGGCCTGATCCGGCCCTGTGGATATCGCCTGTCGAACCATATCCTGTAATTCTTCGAGAAAAGAAAAATATTTTTTTTTCTTTTATGCATTCCGGCGGTCAAGCTCAATCCAGGAAGCAGCCGAAGAACAGGTGATTCGGCATAAAGCGAACATTTTAATACCTTGTCGCCGGGAACCGGGAACCACCTTGACATGGTTTTTTTTTTTTTTTTCCCTCAACAAGAGCGGCTCTTCCGATCGCCCTGTAGGGTGTAGCCGCCCGATGGTTGACGGAACCCTACCACCCTGCCGAGGCCTTCTGTCTTGTTGAACACTACCGAAGACCGCCGCCTTGTCCTTCCACACCATCGGTATTTTTCCTGTTAACTCCGGGAGAGAGGTCTCAGGTCTTGTGGCTTTTTTATAATGATTTGTAAACTCCCCTCGCTTTTATGAATCACCATGATCAGCTGGCATTCAAGTTAGTACCTCTTATGAGCCTCATGACTGAGGGAAGGAGGTCATCTCCGAGTCTGCCGGTTTGTTTAGCGCCCGCCAACCCTTTTTGACATCCATCTGCTGGGCGAAGAAGTGGATGTTTCTTGCGGGTTGCTTTGGCTTTCCGGGGCGCGAAAGGTGCGGCTCGGGGCTCGGGTCCCTTTTGTCGGACTGTGGAGCGAGCCCGAAAAGTCCGGGATGTATCCATGTCGGGCGGGCAGGGGTGTGGGAAGGGCTTATTCTTGTAGCGGGGGTGTGGTTGTCTGTGTGTGGCTGGTGAAGAGTGGATATGTTTGGGCTGGAGAACATGTTTGAAGGCATCATGAGAAGAGGGTGTTGTTGGACGAGGAGAGATGTGACAAGAACAAAAAGACAAACTCATTGCTCGACCTCGGGTCCTGTGTGTGGCTGCGCGCCTGCTTTGGAAGAAATTGTGCGCCCCCAGGAGAAATTTTATATCATTTTTTTTTTCAGGACCGAACGCAGTTGACCGCTGTGCTAACTTACACCAGCCGGGGCAACCGAGTTTTGATAACATTGTTCGCTGGGGCGTGAGGTTATAACCTTAGGTGGTTAGTCCCGAGGTTTCTCTCTGGTCTACCGGTAGCACTACAAGGCCTCTTTCTCCCTTATCGTTCATCAAAAGACTTGACTCAACGGCAGCCATATTCAGCAACTCATCAAAGAAAAATGCCAAGTCTGATGGGTAGACATGAGATCCCAATAACAGAAATATGATGCTTTTCTCCATCGCTCTACCAGCCTCTTGTACCAGAGCACCCCTTTCCCCATCTATCATTACAGCACCACCTCCCTCTTTTCATAAGGCCCCCCCCTATCAAAGACAATAACATGACATCAACCAGACAGAGCCATCACCAAAATCTCATCTATCTCACCCAAACAACCCAAACAAAAACCATCCAGCTCCACAACCCCATCCCACAACATTCTCATTCATGGAAGCCACCACTCAACTTCATGCTAGAAATCCACAAGCAAAAAGATGAACTCCCTAACCCTGCACTTAAACCAAGAACCCCCCCCTCGCCCCCTCCACCCGGGGCCATCACTCCCGACAACCTGGGTCCATGCTACCGTTACGCAGTAAGGAACAAAGTAAAAGCACAGCTAAAAGCACTTGGATAAAGCCACGAAACACCTCAAGCTAGGTGTAAACCTCCACACAAATCCCCTTCAGAAATCCTTAATGGCCGTATAGCTGCAGAGTGGCTTCGATTTAACTCTGCGTTCTACTTGCCCATCACACAGCGTACATGAATCGGGCAGTGTTCGAACTTGGAGGGGAAGAAAGTCAAGTACCCAGGTGGGTTGAGGTGGAAGGTGGTGAGAAGTCTGAGCTCTGACAAGGCCTGTTGTTGAACAACGGAACGGGATGTCTTTGATTCACAGGGTATGATGGGTTCTGGAAACTGAAGCCCCGATGTGGTGGTGGTACCTTGAGACAGGGAGAGAAAGTTTCGCACAGGTTGAGCTATACCTCCATCCTGATGGTCTCTCGTGAGGCAGACAAGTCAGGATCAACAGAAAACCCCCCCAGTGATCTCAAGTCTAACCTCTCCAGACGCCAAAACCATGATCGACATCATGGGATGGGTGTCGAGGTATTTGTCCCATCTCTTTTGGATGCATCGCAAGAGGAGCGCTACAAGAGTTGTTTAATCACAAGGCAGAGTCTCGAAGGCACACACAAAAAGGCATTGAAAGTCATGACCAAAAAAAAGTCTTGTATTGTTCTCGTAGCTACCTACAAAAGTCGCATGCGTCTCTGCGTTGGCCTCGCTCTCCTCGGAGAGACGAGTTTCCAGGCGACACCACGAGGAGGCGACAGAGTCCGACTTCGCCGCCCGATAAATGGCAAGATAGACGGCAAGATAGATGGCAATATATGGCATGGAAAAGGAAAAGGAAAAGAAAAAGAAAAAGAAAAAGAAAAAGAAAAAGAAAAAGAAAAAGAACCACCACTCCCTCACCAAGGCAGCAACAACCAGCCAGACTCCACCATCCTATTCCTCGAATCATATCCGCCAGACCCATACACCCATCCATAAGAACGAGGGAGGCTTCGCGCCAGGTAATCGTCCACGGTCGGATCGTGCTATCCCAGCAGCGACAACCCAGAGTCTATTGCCCCCCTAGTTGACCGTCCACAATCCGATCGTGTCACCCGGGGGTGTGTTGGTGTGCTCATGGGAAGAGGGGGAAGAGCGGGAAGGGGGAATGTTGTCGTCGTCATTGTCGTCCGGTCGGTCGCATCGTTCGTCGTCGCTGGTGGTGTTGATGTCGATATCGATGTTGTCGAAGTCCGAGTCGAGACGATGTTGAAGACAATGTTGAAGACAATGTTAAAGACGATATCGATGGATGTCGAAGTCGATGTCGAAGTCGATGGTGGTGTGGTATGTTCGATGTAAAACAGAGAAGGAAATGGGAGGAAAGACTCGATTATATAGACAAACCAGATGGCTCGTGCACGCTTGCAAATCTGATGGCTTGATTGTGAACTGCCAGTGCTGTGCGAAGTTGCTCCCGTTCTTCTCCGGAGGCGTTGTTAGTTCGAGGGGGGGCTTTGGTACCGGTGGAGTGTGTGGCTTTTTGATGGATGTTGAGATCGGGGACCAGATCTGGGAATTGGATCGTCTCTGAGCTGTGAAACATGGGAGAAAGCCCCTGATGGAAGTTCTAATAGGCAAGATGTCAATGTTGGAACGCTTTGGAAGTGAAAGCTGGGCGGAAAGATGGGGTTACAGCATCAAGAGAAGTGACGAGCTGAGGTCGCGAGTGGTATCTGTCATGTCGATTTGGCTACGATCAAGTGGATCTGGAAAATGTTGGCTTCAGATCTGTCCAGCTGCCAGAATGTTCGAGAATTCGGCCTCGAGAACGGATCATTTTGCATGTGATACCAGACTCTGGTGCCTTACGTGAGAACGCGATCAACGAGGCGTAAATGTCGAGATGCTGTGGCCGATGGCGGAAGTATCCAAGAGTTCGCCGGCTGTGTTCAGGGAAGAGAGGAAGGAAGACAGCTTGGTAGATGATAGATTGAAACTGTTCATGATATCGCTACCTAGCTCAGTGTGTGTGATTCTCAAGTCTCTTCAAAGGGGCAGTGTCCTGTTCAACCTCAAATCCATCGAGCTCGACCCGACAAAGACGGTCTGCTGATACTCGGTGAGAATCTCCCAGTTCTGGGCTTCGGTGTTCCACTCGCTAATGTCACGACGGGTGAGGGAGAAGGTGACGGTTTTGGTGGCGTTGGGGGCGAGGAGGACGTCGTCAAAGCCGCGGAGGAGGAGAGAGGGGGCGAGAGGGTTGTTGGGTGAGAGGTACTATTCATCATCAGCCGGACGGGATCACAACAGAAGAAGCAAACAAGGCAGCTCACCAACTGAACAACCTCCACCCCCTCCCTCGTCCCTGCATTCTTCACATCCACCTTCACCTCAAACAAAACCTCATACAACCCCTCATTGCCACCCTCCTTCCCACCGGCCGGTAGCTCCTCTTGCACCCCCCCATCCCTAGCCTCCGGCGGGAAGTCACCAATGCCAGGTGATCGCGCGGTGCCATTCTCACTGTTATATACAGTCGCATTGACCCAAGGGTAAACATACCTCGGAATCCTCCACCCCTCAAACCCATCCGGCTCAGTCCACCCCTCCACATCCCCTATATCAACAACCTCCCCCATCACCGGCGCCGGTATCGTCTTCCCCTTATTCACCTCGTACCCCCCCCTCCCACCAACCCTCTCGACAACCAAATCCCCATACTCAAACTCCGTGTACCCAAGCCCGTGCCCAAACCCATACGTAACCCTCCCCCTCTCCCCCTTCCCCTCGCTCAAAAACCACCTATAGTCAATAAACACCCCCTCTGGAAACTCCTGCCTCGGACTCCTCGGATCAGGCGCCACCGTCAACAACTCAACCCCGTACGACTCCAAGTCCTTACCCCAGGTAAACGGGCTGCGGCCTTGTGGGTGGACATCACCAAACAAAACATCCGCCAGCCCGTTCCCAGATTCCTGACCGGGAAACCCGGCCCAGAGGATAGCTGAAATATTCGGGTGCTTATCCGCATGATCAATGACGACAGGGCCCGAGGTGTGCAACACAACGATGGTGTTAGGGTTGACAGCCGCCACGGCGCGGATCAAAGCGTCACCGTTGTCCCACAACGTGAGATTGTTCCTATCGCCAGCATTCCCATCGATGGACACAAAATTCTCCCCCGAGGTGGCGGTTGCAAAGACGATGGCGACGGAAGCGTTGGAGGCGGTGGATTGAGCGGTGGTGAGGTCCCAGTTGGAGGTGGTGTTGAAAAAGGTTATGTTGTGCTCCTGGGAGAGGCCCAACAGGGCCGTGGCGGGTGAGATCAGATAGGGGAAGTCGGTTGTGCCAGAGCCGTATCCCATTGCTACCGTCCCGTTGATGCAGGCTCGCTCGGGGCAGGAGTTGGGTCCGTTGGGGTTATCGTGGGCGTCGTTGCCTATTACTGCTAGGCTGGTCAGGGAGGATTTGGAAAGGGGGAGGATGCCGGTGTTCTTGAGGATGACGGTGGATTTGGCGGCTAGTTCACGGATGAGAGCCGAGTGGTTGGCTTGGACATCGACGTGGGAGTTGACGGTGGTCCAGGGACGGTTGGAGTACTTGTATTGGGGGCCAGTGGTGTTTCGGGTCCAGGCGGAGAAGTTGGGTTCTGGGCGGGAGGTGTAGCTCCCGACGTGGACGCGGAAAAAGGAGGTCATGATCCGGGTGACCATGTCATCGAGGCGCCACTGGGGAACCTCGCCTTTGAGGACGGCTTGGGTGAGCGCGCCGCCCCAGTGCGAGCCGTAGGGGGGTGATGAGGCGGAAGGGGGACCCATCATGTCGCCTGGCATTGCCATATCGAGCCCTGAGAGGGCCGAGCCAAGGGTGCTGTGTTGTGCTCCCCAGTCGGACATCACTGTCTTTCTCATCAGCATCCTCCCGGGAGACACACCGCCAGAAACTCACCAAACCCCCTAAACCCCAGCTCACTCTTCAACAAGTAATTCTGCACCCACTCATTCTCACACGCATACGTCCCGTTGACCCTGTTATAACTACACATCACACTCCCTACCCCAGCCCTCACCGCATCCGCAAACGGCCACAAGTACAACTCATGCATCGTCTTATCGCCAATCCTCACATCCACACTCCCGCGGAAATGCTCCTGCTCATTAAGAATGTAATGCTTAGCACAGGCAATCACACCCCTACTCTGGATCCCCCTGATCGTTTCCGCAATCGCCACTCCAGTCAGGTACGGATCAGGAGAGAAACCCTCCCAGTTTCTCCCTCCCTGCGGTGTTCTGCCTAGGGCTCCGGCAACAGGACCAAGCTGGACATCAACGCCCTTGCCGCGGAACTCTTCACCCATCGCTTCGCCCCGGGCACGAATGAGGCGTTTGCTGAAGGTTGCTGCGGCGTTCATGCCCGCGGGAAAGGCTGAGGCTTTGTCGACTATCATCGACTGTCAGTTGGGAGGTGTTGGAGAAGGGAGACAGGAGGGCATACCATATCTCACACCCAACGGCCCATCCATCAGACAAAACCCCTCAAACCCCAATCTTGGGACCGAGCCGGTCTTGCCGATACATCTGTCGCCTTCCCAGCCCGTGCCGGTTGTCAAGTTGACTTTTTCGGTGAGGGTGAGCTGAGAAACAAAGGCCGCAGCTTTTTCGTACGCGGCTTGCCATTCGGCATCGGATGGGTCGGGCGAGATCCACGGGGAGGGGAAGCCGAGAAAGGGGGTCTCTGTCAAGGCTGTGGTTAGGGATATCAAGGGCAGCAACCCTGCAGAGGTCTGAAGCCGCATCTTGCTGATTTAAAGAGCGCAATGTTCAAAACCTCAGAAAGGGCAAAGCAAAGAGAGAGAAGCATATCCAGAATGGGAGACGAGACCTAGATATGAAATATCTGCAAGCTGCGACGCAATGGCAATGAAATATTCCCGTCAATCACAGCTATGGTAGCTGACGTCGTTGAGCATCGAAGGAGGGGTTAGCAGATTAGCCATGGCGAATCCCCCTCTCTATCCCGTCTCGGGATCTAGAATATGCTCATCTTGACGGGATGGGGTGCGGTGGTGTGGTGTCGATGTATTACCCGCCGGCTAGTTCCCGAGCTGCAGGTACAAAGGCATAGGTAGACATTCGGTAGTCGAAAATGTTGCGAGTTGTTGCATCGTAAAGCACTCGGATGTATGAGGTTCATGTGCTGTTGACAAAATGATGAAATTGAAACCTTTCCCAAGCCAAAAAAAACCGAGATGCGATTGGAGTTTTGCCTGTCCTCTTTCATCATATACAACTCCTTGACCATCCATCCCATTGCCACAGTTTTGTTCTTACACGTATCCATACATGTCCATCTCCCCAACAAACCAATCTTACACGGCAGAGTAGACAGCGCTCACGCACCTCCCACACTCTACCCTCTGCTCCACATCCACCTGCCTCCCCTTCCCAGCCTTCCCCCCCTTATCAGTCAACAGATTCACCCTCGCCCTCGGCGCAATTTGGAGCCTATTCCTCCCCAGCTCCCCATCCATCTTCCCAGCCCCAACACTGTCCCCATCCAACGCCCCAATATAAATCGGCACGTTCGTGTTATTTCTCTTGCCCGTGCCCAACTGATAGCTCTCGTTCCCTCCCCAGAACAAGACATCGTTCCCAAACTGTGGACCCCCCTTAGAGTTCCCCTTGGAATCATGCACATTGTCCATTACAGCACAGACATGTGTGCTTCCTACGGCGATCTTGTTGAGACGAATAGGATGGACAGTATTGGTTGCCTCGTCGTATTCATAGAGATCGGAAAGAGCCTTGACCTTGGAGGGAGCAACAGAGACGTGAAGCCATTTGCCTGTGCCGAGTTCGCCGTGGATACCGGAACCACAAGCCCACGTCTCGGCCACGACTCTGCCGAGCTCAGAGGCGGGCATGACTTCCGACCCAGACTCTGATTGAACCTTGGTGGCGTCAACGGTGAAGAAGCTGCTGAGACCGCCAGCGGCGATGGAGGTAACCTTGGGCTTGAGGTTGGTGCCGGCGTAGAGCTGGTTGACGGGCAACAGAGAGGGGGTGTCAATATGGGTAGCTGTGAGATCGGTCTTGAAGCCAAGCTGGCCAACGGTGTTATCACCAAAGGAAAAGACCCTCCCTTCGTCGTCAAGGGCAAGGGAGTGGTAGTCACCCGTGGCGATCTCCCTGACCTTGAAACCGCGCAGTCCGCCGACCTCGTGGGGCTGGTCATATGGACCAGCTGGGCGGTTTTGCCACGTCAGCCCAGGAACACCGAGCTGACCTCGGGAAGGAAAGTCCTCTGTGCTAGAGGCGGCCGAGAAGACGCGACCTCTGGAGGTGAGCATCAGACAGTGTTCAAGGCCGGACTTGACATCGACCACTTGTTCGTTCCAACCCAAATTGGCAGGCTTGAGGGTCCTGTAGTGCTGGGTGAGGCTGGGGGTGCCGGACCAAATGGACCAGGAAGAATGAGAGTTTGGTGTGTTTTCGGCAAAGGCCTGGTCAGCTTTGGCAACAGGAATGGAGTAAACTTGTCCGTTGGACGAGAGGGCAATGACACGGTCCCGGGAGACGGCGATCTTGGTGACATCTTTGCCCCTGAGGGTAACTTCCGGGCCGGGGGCATCTCTGTTGTAGCCGACACCCCACTGAACTAGGTCGCCCTTCTCGTTGACTGCCACGCCAAAGTCTCGTTCCAGCTTCAAATCCCTGAGAATCTGGCCGTCAAAGAAGGGAATCCTCCGTGGTGTCTTGATGTTGGATTCCTTGGAGTCAGGAGCAGCAACCTTGCCCACATTGGAACCCCAAGCATAGACGCCGGGGTGGTCATGACTGTGCTTGACTTGGACATGTTGAGGGCTGATCAGTTCATTGCTCTCCTCCTTAGACTTTGCCTTCTTCCGTGGTTTCTCACGGAGAATCTCGGCCTTTTCTGCTTGTTTAGGGCTTTGAGCCTGTTCTTGTTGCTTGGATAGTTGGGAGTAGTTTTGGTAAGCCCAGAAACCACCAGCGCCAGCTCCCACAAGGACAGCTCCAGCGACGAGAGGGATGATGGAACGGCGAGGCTGAGCTTCACCCCCGGTACTCGAATGCCGTACCCATTGCGAAGGCTTTGCTGTCCTGGCGGTCCGTCGTAGAGCTGTGCGATACATGGCAGACGAGGCTATCTTGAACTGTCTCTGAGTGCTGACTTATATGCCGGGTCTAATTGGCTTCCAGATTCCTTTGTGTCAGAGGCGAGAGAACAGAAGAACTCGGATTGTCGTCGGCTTCATACCCTGACCACCAAAATGCCTTGGGTAGCCGAGTTCGACTGAAATACCAGTGATGGCCTGAGATGGTGAGGTCACTGGGTGTTCACGAGGCTGTCTTCAGATGCAGCAGGCATGAACCTTTTTCTTCAATAAGATGGGTCCCCAAGCTCATGTCTTGGCATCAAAGAGCTTAACATGCGGCCCGTGCGCCCCGCATCCCACCACTGAATTGTGGGGCACTTTTAGGGAGCCAGGGGGTGCTGTCGGGCGCGGTGAAGGGTCCCGCCCGTTGCGTTGCGGCCAGATATACGCGGCATCCGAAAAGGCATACGGAGACGGCCACCGGAGCCGGTATTAGCAACAAATCGACCGAATCCCACGGGAGCTAAGAAACAAAAATGTTTGAAGACTCCTGGTACAGCTTTGTACCCGACTACCAACAACAGCAGCGACAGGCGCAAAGCTCAGGCCATCAAAGAAAGAAGTCTCTGCTCCAGCCTCCAAATGTAAGTGGCCTGGGCTCTCAGGAGCTATATACTCAAGAAATGCTCTTGACTGACAAGCTCCATATGTATAGGGTGTAGACAATGTCGATGGCGCGGGATCGCTCCCAGTTCTTTTCGAAGACCAAGAAGACACCAATTCCCCACCAGAACCTACCTTGTCACGAAGAGCAAAGTCGTACTCGGATTTCTACGACATCGTCAAGGCCCAAATAGGTGGAAAGCCACACCACAAGAAGAAGAAGGGGAGGAGGATACGACATGGCCGAACGTGGGAAGCATTGGGCGTTCCGGAGTCTGTGGCGGCAAAGCTGCCGGTCGAACAGGACGCTCACGATGCCGAGCTGGACAAGGAGCTACTGGAAGCAAGTCAACAGGAATTCCTGTTGTACCACGATCAGCTGGTCATGACCGAACGACACTTGGGCACCCTCGTTGAAGATGCGAATAGTGCTCTCAAGGTTCTCGAATCCCTGAGCCAGTCGTTCCGGGCAGTTGACGACCAAACCAGCTCTTTCAAGGCCCAATGCGACGACCTACTCACAGAGCAGAAACGGTTGCAGAAGCTGGCCGATGATGTTGGCACAGATCTTCACTACTACGCGTATCTGGACAATGTCAGCAGACGACTCAATGCTCCAGGAGCAGGTCGACTTGTGGAGGACGACGCGTTTGCCGATATTTTGTCAAGCCTCGACTCTTGCATAGCCTTCATGACGAAAAACACGACGTACCGAGATGCCGAGTCTTACCTTGCCCGCTATCAGGCCCTGCTCACCAAGGCTCTGCACTTGCTCGAAGTTGGCTTCACCAATCGCCTCAACCGAGTTTCTGCCGAAATTTCCAAACAAATACTGGCTACGCGGTCCGAGTCCGCACGGCACGCCCTGGCTTATGGCCGGTTTGAAGAGACATTGCTGGAGTCCTACTCCTTAATACCAAACATCCAGACCGTCATCCGCAACGTCTACGATCAAAACGGCCATCCGCAAACAGCACTCAACTGGGACATCTATGCCAACACAGCCAACAACATCTTCCACGCCTACTGGGCCGTCAGAGAAAGAGACCTGAAACCACTAATTCAAAGCGACCTCGACGCCTTCCGCTCAGAAGCCAAGGAATCCGTCGAGACCGCGGCCCGTAACTTCGTCAAGCAGTGCTACGAGCGTTCCTACAATGAAGCCTCCCTCTTCCGGAAAATCTTCGCCATCGAGACCCAATACTCAACCGACCCCAAATCTGCCTTCACCGCCCTCAAATCCTCCCACGCCGGGTCTTTGGTCACGGGCACAAACGTCGCCCCTGTCGCCACCAACCTCCAGTCTGTTCTCCACAATAGCGACCTGAGAACAGTGTGCAACATAATAGGCTGGGTCACCAACGAGTATCTCCTGTTGGACTTTGACGAGGATGAAACCCCCTTTGTGGCTCACTGCAGGGAGCTCACCGCGCGGCTACTTACTGAGCACCTCTGGACGTTCACCGACGCTCTTTTCGAAGCCGAGATATCCAAATCCATCACCAAGGCCGCCGTCGCCCCAGACTCGCTCAAGATCGGGCCAGTAACCAACAATGACTCCTCTTCGAACGCTTTTCCCCCTATCAAGCGAGCTATTGA